TTTGCTGTATTAGCAAATGGTGCTGCTGTTGCAAATGTCAATGATAAAAATTTGATTGTTAATGATGTACAAAGTATTGATTTTCTAAAATTTAGAGATGATCTTACTAAATTTGGAACAGAATTGGCTCAATTGATTATTAGAGATGGTGAAGGTGCCACTAAATTTGTCACTATACATGTAAAGGTAATATATTTTTATGTAAATGGATAAATATTTTTTAAACATTTATTAATTTACTAATTCATATATATAATAATATCAAAGGGGGCTAATTCATATGATGAAGCAAAAAAAGTATGTTCGACAATTGCAACATCAGCACTTGTCAAAACAGCATTATATGGACAAGATGCAAATTGGGGTCGTATATTATGTGCAGTAGGATATTCAGGTATTCAATCCATCATACCAAACAAAGTTTCTGTTTCATTTATACCAACAGATGGCACAACACCTTTGAAATTGCTTACATTTGGTGAACCAGAAAATGTTGATGAGGCAAGAGCAAGTGAGATTTTAAAAATGGAAGAATTGGAAATCAATGTTGATTTAGGAATTGGTACCGATGAAGCAAAGATGTGGACTTGTGATTTTAGTCATGAATATATTTCTATCAATGCTGATTATCGTACATAATCATATAAAGAAAGACCAAAGAAAATTATTAAATTAATAATAATAATAAGTTTAACATTCTATTTATTTTTAATTATATTTTTGTAAGCCTAATATAATATTTATTTTTAATTATATTCTAATATAATATTTATTTTTTTAAAATTTTATTTTGTATATGAAATTTTTTAAATGTTTAGTTCATAGGCAAAACTAATGATTGCATGTCCAAATAGTTCATGTTTGCAGCTTGTGTAAAATCACTCCTTTAGTAAAAATCGAGCATTTATTGAATGGGAATGTGGCAGCTTCATTGTCATGTGTAATGCTTGCACGCCCAATAATTCACATTCACAAACTGATCATTTGTAATTGTTCTTTGTGCAAAATCATTGGCTTGAATTTATTTTGGAAAAACAAACATTTATCAAATAAGGAAGTGATGGCATCAGCAAATTGATTCAAGAAAATACAAAGCATAATTAAAATCCTCGAGCCTTTTTATATAATATTCAATGCATCTTCTTACCATAAAGTCTGGAAAGATAGCATCCCCTTTTTACATGTGTAACATTTTTTTTTATATTGACGCTCAATTGTTTTAAAGTAGGGGGTGCTATCCTTCGGGGGGTGTTATCTTTCCAGACTTTATGGTAATCAATATACAGTTTATTATTATTCTTTGCTATCTTTCCTTACCAATAAAATTATGTACATGTTTTTTAATCAACAAAATTATTAAATTTTTTTTTATGTGATGACCAGATCTTTTTACTATTACACCTCAAAACAGGGTTGACTGGTCCATAATGACCATATTTAATATTTTACTAATGCCAATTGACCAGAAACCAAAATACATCAGTTTCAGTAAGCCCAACAAATATAATTCCGTATTATTACAATAAAATTGTTTTTTAGCATTTACATGTTTGTAAAAGATACATTAAAAAATTTTTTTATCTGCTTGCTCCTAAACCAATATGTTGTAGGATATATAGCTTTACTTAGAACAGAATTTTCTATTTGTCCTCAACAATCTTAAAACTTGTTTTGCATTGATCAAATAAATTTGTGATGTTGTAATTGACTGGATTACAACCACCAATTGATTCTCCAGTTTTTTAATCTTTCCAACAAATGCAAGCTTTTCTCAAAAAATAGATCTGGGATATTGATATTAATATTCATATCAACCACCATTGAAAATCCATTTAAATTCATGATGGTAAGGTTTTTTTATTAAAACCAATGAATTCAATAAAAAGATTCACTAAATAATCTATAAAGATGTTAATAAATTGACAATAATAGTAATGTTTAAATGGGGTTTGCTTGTAAAGTTATACCATGTTTCAAAAACTCATCAACTTTCCCCTTCCCTATTAGTGCTAATAAACAAAGGTCAATTATCACATTAACTGTAAAATTATATATACGCATTACTATATTATTTTCTTTGTTTGAAAATGAAGAATGTACAAGATCATGGTGACAAGCAAAACAATTCTCTTGTAGGTTTTCTTGCATCTAATTTTCTTCAGTTGTTGATGTTTATTTTGCAATTTTTTAAAGGTAACCAATGACTGTGCCAGTGTTCAAAATTTATAAAAAAAATATACCTTGCAATCTATGAATTGCTAAATGTGATGACAGCAAAAACAACAACAATAACAAAGTTGATAAAAAGGAAGCTAAAAAAATATGTCATTTTCCCTCTCTGTCAGACCTTCATCCATTAATATATTATCACTATGTAAGTCACAATGAATTAAATCTTTTTCATGTATATCATAATACCAGCTAGCTTAGTACCATCTGAAAAGGTTTTCATCAACTGGGATTTATTAAGTTCTTTGCCAGCTAAGGTTTTTCTATTGGCCAACATCACTAATTAGAGTGCTAGATTGCAACAAAATTGTTATCAAGTAATTTAATTGTAAATAAGAAACTTGAATTCAATATACTTGTAAAAGAACTTTGTAAGAAGTTTAATAACTTTGTGATAGGTTACTTAGAAATAAGTTGATAAATTAGTTTCAACTAAATAAAAAATTTCTTTATAAAATCAATAAAAAAATTATCTGCTAATAAAGCTAATTTGTTAGTAATGGCTGACATTAATTATTGTTATCACCAATTATTACACTCCAAAATAATAATTGGTCTTAAAAAACAATTCCAATAAAAGAATT